GTGCCAGTGCCACAAACCCCCTAGGAAGGTACCAGAAAGATTTTGATTGATAGGGAAATGTATGGGAGCTTGCCTCTGGGACAAGGAGATTGATACTTGGCTGTAAGAGCAGAGAAGAATCAAGGAACTGTAGGGGAAAAGGAAAGTGGTAAATGGGCAACGTTTGTTTAGGATTTCAGAAATCCCAAAGCATGATAAAAATGAGGGTAGCTTCTCCCTGATTTCCACTGGTAAAGGCTCAGAAGGGTTTTGCCTTTTACGCATTAGGTGTAGGTCTCAAGCAGAGTCATTATTTCATAGCCCACTTAAGCTGCTCACTGCCGTCACAAAGCCCCAGACTGGACAAACTTTTGGGTTGTATTTTCTTCCTACAGAATCCAGCATTTTTAACATCTTCAACAGTTGGCCTAATCAAAATGTTTGGACTGCATTTAAGAAATTCTTGTGAAAGGTACTGGCCAGTGATACAAAGGAGATAGGCTTTTGATGCTCTGTCAGGGCTAAATCAATGTAGCTGTTGGTATTGCCACAAGTTACAGGTGAAGAGACAAGATAGCATAAGATTTCAAAGACTGAAAGTCAGATGTAAAGCAAAAATCATTACCTTAATATCTTTATTCCCAGTTCTGCTTTTTAAGCAGAAAAAGCAGAAACCTTTAAGCAGAGAAGGTTTTAAAGTTTTAGTTAGCCTGTTGAAGTACCTGCACCTTATCACTGTCTCTTTGTGCTTGAGATATGATGATAACCTCCATGCTCTATCACAGCCTGAGTAGTGTGTGCCATGACTCATGCCCCCAAGAGGCCATGGTTCACACTCACACATTTTGAATCTTTGCACTGTAGAATAGTAGAAAAGTGCCCTGAGCAAATACATTAAAAATCAGTCATGGTTCAGTGGAGTAATTCAGCAATAGCTCAGAAAGAAGACAATTTCAGGTGACATCCATGCAGCATGGGTTAACAAACTTGAGAGTTCAGGCTTACTTGGGACTAAACTACAAAATACCCAGAGGAATGGGGGGATCACAGCATGGACGCAGCTTTTCTGCTGGAAAGTGTGAGAACCTTTCCCTGAGGAACGCCTATCCCAGATCCACATGAGGACAAAGGAGAAAAGTCAGGCCTGGAGGTGTTGCCAAAAGGGTAACATACCTCATGTAAAGCACATTACAAAAACTAATGCTGAGCTAGCAATAACCTCTCTAGTAGCAGTGGGAACCCCCTCCTGCTTTATTTTGTAAAGTATCTTTCATATCTTCTGCCAAAGACTTTAGGCAAGGAGGCAAGTAACAATAGAGCCAAATCTTGCTTCAGAGACTGCCAATAGTCATTGTAGCCTGTAACAGTGAAAGGTCATCCACAAAGACATTATGAACACTCAATTTTTGCCCCAAATTCTGGACCAAATGTTCTAGGAAGAAGCAGACTATTGGGCTGGGTCCAAAGCATGGGGAGAACTTGTAATTAATCTTTTTGTAATTGTTTTCCCACCCTAAATCTTCTACATCTCCTGCCTCACTTAACTCTTTCCAAAGTATCCTGCAATGTCAGTTGCCAAGGCTTGATACTGGCAGGAGTCTTCTGTGTGATCCAGATGGCCTCCTGAATGCCACCCTTAAGCACCTATTATGGGTGACTGGTTTTGGTGTCACAACTGCCACTTACCAGCAGTGCTCTGGATGCTCTGTCTGAAAGAGTCATCTTACCCTTGAACTTCAATAATTACTTGGCAGTCACTTTATTCACCTTTACTGGGCAGTTGGAACACCAACCTCTTACACAGATGCACATTTTTAGAAACAGGTTCAACAAGATGGTGCAATAAAGTTCACCAGTGCACAGTCGTACACATAAACCTGCCTTCAGGGATATCTAGTGGGCATGTGAATCATAGAGTGTTTTGAATTTTAAAAAGTATAAACATATTTCCAAGTTTAAAATTTTATCACCACCTGCTTTCCTTTATAGCAATGAAATTTGAGTTTCGATTCCTTTTCTCACTTTCTTTGTGCCTCTGTTTTCCCCTCTTTATCAAGGACATGAGAAAAGAAGAAACAACACAGAATCTCCCACTCTGATCCTCTGCTATATCATGGGTGACTGCCCCTTGCTTCTCAGGTTGTGGGCTCTGTCAGTGCTTTAAAAGGATAAGAGAGACAAAAAAAAAAAAAGAAAAGCCTGTCCTGTTTTGAACTGTAACCACAACTCTGGCTCCCCCAATGCAGCAAGCCAAACAGCCCTGGCTGCATCAAGCTCATCTCTTAGTTTGTCCCTTTCTATGGTTTTGAAGCACTCTAAACTCTTCTGTTCACAAATGAAAATAGGTTACAATGCCACTGGGGGGGCTGGAAATGAGACCTTATGGTCTGTCCTGGTATATATTTATATACATATGTGTGTGTATATATATATATATATGTCTTTTATGAATGTAATGGGAGCTGTGAAACCAAAGGGACCAAAGGCTAGAAGAATGCTCTGATGAAGCCTGTAAATAAAGTTGCTGATCTTGCTTCCTCTCCTTCTTTTATCTTTCTGTTTCAGGAAACTGTTTTCAAGATTAGGGTTCTCTAGCTGCAAAAGGGCCCAGGCTGTCTAGTGGGTCTGCTGTTCTCAGTAAGCAACTGCCCAGCCTTTATCAAAACCAGATGCATTTGCAGTGCCGGGGCTAGAAAACAGAAGACACAGAGTAAGACACACCGTGATTGTGTCTACCAAGCTCATGACCAGCTGCCTGTATAGCTCAACAGAACTGAGTTCTTTCTAGGTAATTCCGAATGGAGAGAAGTGACCAGTTCTAGCTGTCCAGGAGTGACCATCACCTCTGCATGCTTCCTCACCTGATTGCAGAGAGGGGAATACACTCTTTGTTCTCTAAATACCTTCCCTTCTCCCTGTCTCACAGGTGTTTGAGAGGGAACTAGCTCTCAGCAGTCAAATTGGAGATTTTTTTTTTTTTGGTGTGTATGCGTCACTTTCTAAAGCTTCTGTCACTGCTTTAGACTAATGTCTTGACTAAAATCCTAGGTGCAAGAGGTCAGGGATTTCTTGGCCAGGTAATCCTTCCACTGTGCAAGGTGATGCTGTTTGTGAGAAGCAGGTGCTGGCTCCACTCTGAAGGAGATAAAGTGGACCTTGATGCAGTTGGATGGCTCCTGGGGTGTGCTTCAGGCTGAGATACTTTGGCAAGGGAGATGCACACTTCAAACATGCTGTGGGAAGGACTGAGGCTCCTCAGGCTACTGCAGGAGCGCATTCCACTTAAATAGAAGAGGAAGGGATAAGCAAAAGGAGTCTATGATGTTTTCCAGTTCCTGAAAAGAAGCGTTTTTTTCTAGAGTGAGAAAGAAAACAGTGAAAGGTAAAATTTTATGCTGGTAAATAAAACAGAAAAGAAGGAAACAGTGGAATGAGATCACTTAAAGGCACCTTGTAAAACTGTATGCAGTATCCAGCCTTTTCTGGTAAATTCAAAGGATTGATCTTTTCTGCTACCTGTATTACTACTTGCCAAAGCTCAGCTCATTTGCAATTTTTTTAATGTGAGAGAAGGACCTGAAGTGATGGATAATAATCCCCCCACCTCCCTCTTCACTTTCATCCAGGGAAGAGGTTGCAGGAAGAAAAGTATGGCAGTTTCTTTAAGAAGAGTCAAGAATTTTGTTGCCAAATTTCCATCCACTCCTTCTGGAAAGAAGTGCTGTGTGAAGAGATAGGCCGGGGATGCAGTGAAATTTGCAGATATGGAGGAAAATGAGTGAAACATCTATTCCTCTCAAATCATTACTGTTCATATCTGCTGTTGCTTATTTTTGTAAGATGGAATAAGCACTCCTGTTGATGGCTTTTAGGCAAACGCTATGCCTTATGGTATTTTGTTCATCTGAGAAAGATGGAGTTTTCCTTTGAGTCCAAACTCATGTGCAGCTGTTAATTTGCAGATAAATACCAAACAAGGTTCAAATCCACCTAAACTGCTCTTGATAATGCTTCTGTCACCTATGGCAATTTCTCTTCCATCATCACCACCTCTCAGATTGGCAACCACTTCTTCATCTGTTTACTGCTCTGGACTGGGCCGCTGAAATATTTGGCATATAGTCCCCTATATGATCCAGCACACAGGCAGCCAAGCTTCTCATTCTGTGAGTATTTACACCACATGTCTCTGAAATAAGGTTGGGGTTGGACTAAGACCCAAACAGGAGCCTGAGTTCTTAACCTGTTTTAGGCATGTGCAGGTCAGAAAGAGGGATGAGGACAGTGGTAGGATTAGAACATCATATGCTGGTTTTTCCTCATAACAAAAGAATAAAACCCCAAAGCCCAATGGTTGTTGAAGAAGCTCACATTCAAGTCAAGGAATGATCCAAATTCTGCAAAGAGGACCTGCCATTGCTGTGGGGGACAAACCCAGTTTTCAAAAATGCACAAGAAAGGAGCTAACTCATGTTTTGGGAAGCTAAATGTATGCTTTCTCAATGGAGTCAAGAAGTATGAGCTATATAGGTGATTTGGCCTCTGTATATTATGATGATGTTTACAAGAGCATCTAGAAGGGGAAATATTTCTTTATTATAATTCTCTTTTTTAACCCTAAGCACTATTCTTGTCCTTCCCAAGTTACTGCCCAAACCATGGAAGACATTGCCATAGAATTGTCTTCCTCGTGATTTGGCATATAGGCCTTTTACAGGACTGAACAATTAGACTAGCTTGCTGCAGAGCTCAGCAAATTCCTTTCTTGTAAGGATGGTACATTCCATAATGAATAGCTAAAATGATCTGTTCAGTGAGCCGTTTGCAAAGCGCAGGTTTCCTTTAAAGCAAAAGCTGCTGCAGGAATTGTTTCTATTATAGCTGTTCTGAGCTATAAATACACAGTAAATTATTAGTCAGGTATTTTCTACATGTTTGCACAGTATTCCTAACTTTGCGCATAGGAGTATTATTAACCCTTTCTTTTCTACTCTCTGCAATTCTTCACAAGACAAAGGGGAGGACCTACCATGCTAGTCAAACTCTTCAGGTGAAGTTAGCAATGGTGGAAGACTAAGGCATGGTTGAAGATGTGATTTGGGAAAGGTAACACTGGAAGAACCTTCCTCTATCTGTTGGTACTCATCAAGATCTATGCATGCTACATATCAACGTGATGTAGGAAGTCATGATGGTAAGTTTTAGGGACTTCTCTTAACTCTTTTGACAGCTTCATGAATAACAGCAGATCCAGGTATAATATTTGATCTAATTCTCCACTATGTCTATGAGAATTCATGGATTAGAGATCTTTGCACTAGGTCTGTCTCTGTGATGGAGCTGAACAAATACGCACCAAGAAAAGCAAAAGCATGAATTCAGAGGAAAATGACCACTGACAAGCAAAAGAAACAGAATGAAGATTTCCAGGGCTAGTATCTGGAACTCCAAAGAGAAGCAAATTTGTAATATAAAATGGTGCATGTGTTTGCAAAAAAAAAATTCTTTAATTTTAAATTTCTGATGTATTCAGACAGGAAGGAAAGAAGATTGTGCTGAAATTTTTGGAAGGTGTATTTCCAGGACAGGTCACCAAAATCCAGAATTAAACTGAAATAAAATTTGTTGACTCTTTTTAGTAATATTTATTTGAAAGGTTGTCACCTGTTACTTTCCAAGCAAATTCTGGGTCCTGTTCAAGTGTTATACCCAATATAGGATAGTGTTTCTTCTTAAAGCACTTAAAACCTAGTGCAATTGAATAGATGAAGAACGGAAGTAGACTTGAACATAGACACATGCATGCAGATGAACAGCACTATGACACTTTAAAAAGTTAAGGATATTCAGACCTGATCCTGGTACAAGTTTGACAAAAAAAAGATACTCATTGCCTTTGGATCCTAGAACTTGGAGCTCAAGCTTCTGCCTTTACCTCCAGAGAAGTATCTGTTCACATACTCTGCTCTTTACTGGCTGCTCTTTGCTACTGCAGTGGCTGATGCTCCCACATGAGTGCTGAAGGACTTGGTTGCCTTTTCCCACCTTCATAGGTGACTGCCATTGCTGATGACCAGAAGGTAGGTATCATTCTGGGAGGGGCTATACTGACCTTTTTTTTTTCCACGTTAAGAAAACACTTTTGCACAAAAAACTTCTTTCATTGCTTTGTTAAGGTGATTTGCTCTGGAGTGTTAAAAAGAAGCATTGAAAGGGGCATGAATTTCACCCAAAAAACTTACACCATAGCACAGACCTGATGGAAAGGTGCCAGAATGCAGCAAAATACACAAAAGCTGTGCAAATGTGAGCTACAAAAGGTCCAACATTTCTAAGCACCCCCAACAGGTTTTTCACTTGCAGGACTCAGTATGCCCCTCAAAGAATGACACCTAAAACCCAGTTTGACAATCAGTTTCAACTGGTTGTGGTCAGAATTGGAAATTCGAAGCCCCAGGATGTGTGCATGTGGCAAAAGACTTTCGGCCAACAAGTCTGGAAATCTGAAATTATTTATTTTTAACTACAAGTAGCCTGAGAGTTGAGATATTTAATAGCAATCAGAAGAGTCTGTGCATTTCTGGTTTGGAAAAGAACAAGAATAACTTTTCAAAACCATACTCAGAACTGAAATTAACTAGAGAGAGTGGTTGCCTCAGGTTGAGATTCCAAGTTTAGAGACAAATAATAGCCATTTTACTGTCAGGATTGTTTAAGGCAAGGAGAATACAACAACTAGGTCAGGAGGATTTTATTTCTCAACTGCAGATCAAATTAGACCTGCTCCAAAACCACACTGCTTTAGAAGTGACAAATACATTTGCTCCTACGGAAAGCCCAGTGTGAGTCTTGGCAGAGAGAGAGAGCTTTTGCTATGTCCATGAAAACATCTGCATGGGTTTCCTGGACCCTGAATGTGCTAACGATGGGGACCCAGCTGGTACTAAGGTGAGGGAATGTAAATTAACATCCTCCTGAGATGGAAGGTAAATTGGGTTGCATGGCTCACACCAGCTTTGCATTGACAAACAGCACTAGCTGGAGTCCCAGAGTCGCTAGAGAGTTTGTTTTTCACAAGGTCATGCAAGGTTCACTCACATCCTTCTGCCTGTTGGTCCTGAAACTACATGTTAACCCTGTGCTTCTGTTGCTGTGTCTGTGCACATTCTCAATTGTTTATTAAGCATCTGTCAATACTCAACTGGAATAAGTTTTGCAGCTAGACATGTATTTTCTGCTTGGGCTGTTTTCCTTTAAAAAGGTGGGTATGTCTAGTGCTGCACATGTGATTTTTCTAGATGGAAGTTATCTACAGCTTCTTCAGGCTCCACCGGAAATTTTGTCTCATGTTTCTTTACACCTGAAATAAAATTCACGCTTTGCAAATGACAGTGTGAGTTTCCAGTACACAATTACAATGGTGTGCTCTGTCTTCCTTTTAGGTTAGGAAAGGAGGTCTATTTCCTGTCACACCAACAGAGACATGGACTCTAACCATTTAGGTTCTTTTGGCTGATGGACTACAAAAAGAACTTGTCAAGTCTTTACAGAGGACAGTATTTTCTACAACCTGATTTGATGGTGCTAGAGCCAGTACACCAAATTACTGTGATCTAAAGGTGCTGATGACCATTTCACTTCTGTTTTTTCTTGGCCACTGCTGTGGGGGTTAGAAAGAACAGGGAAAATATATTGGGAAGCCAGAGAAAGCAGAAGGGATACCTTGTGGATGAGAACTAGACACATTCTGGATGAAGTGTTGTTTGACATCCCTTTGGAGCCAAGAAATAATGACTTGAACAATGCAGAATAGACATTTTGAGACTGTATAAAACCTCTCACTCACTGAATCCCAAGTAACTACAGCACAGTTTTATCTTCAGTGTTACTTGGAATTGTGTCAGGAGGCTTTTTTTCTTTTTTTGTTCTCCTTTTTTTTTTGAGTGCAAGGTCAAACAAAACATTTAAAAATAAAGCTTTATCAAGAGAGATGGAGGACTAAAGGGTTTCCTATTTTTAGTAAGGGCAATCTAATCTAAGCAGAAGTTGTTCTGGGCTCCTCTCTGTTTTCCATGAAAGGTAGGTGCTCCCAGGACAATTCCCAGGGCTTTTTGTGGCTTCTGTTTTCAGATGCAACTCAAGCCACTGAGTTTATTAAGCACGTATCCTGGAAAGTCCTGAGCAAAATGAGAGACACCTGATAGTCCTAGAATACCAGCATTTTCAGTAAGGTCCTGCAGCTGTATCTCCTGATTGTGAATTCTCATAGGCTTTAAGCCAAGCTCTTTTCCCCAGTCCTCCCCCAGCTACTGATATAGTCCTTGACAGGGTAAAGCATCTGTCCAAATCAAAGCACAGAAAGTGATTAAGTGCTTTCTTAATCAGGGCCTTGTAGCTCTTATATTTGACTCTTGGCTTAGTCAAATCCAGTTTTTTAAGTAAATTTGATGTGGAATTGGATAGAAATGGTAATAAGACAGAGAACTTTTCACTTCTAGGTCATCACTGGATGATTTTTCAGGAGGGAAAACCCAATAAAATTGTTGCTCGAAGGCAGTCAAGAGTGTATTTGGAACACTGAAGCACAAATATCTTGGCTGGCCTGACTGCTTTGTATCACCAGTGTTATGGGAATTAGCTTGTGAGTTTACTGTGCTGAGACAAGACAATTACTTTTTAAACACCCAACAGACAGCTGTTATAAAGCCCAAAGATGGAGAAAAATAAAGCACAGTTCCGCTTTTCAAATCAAGAGAAAAAAAAATTCCTTTCCCATTAGTCTGAGCCTTTAACCTGTATCTTTTATCTGATGAAAAATAGCAGAAGTTGTCACTAAGAAATCTAACTGGTCAGTTTTTACCTGCGGTGCCCAGACCTGTGGGTTCTATGCAATAATTCTTGTAGGAGGCTATTAAACAAAAAGAAGACAAATCATCAGATTGCCAGGAGGATTAAAAGTACTGCCCAGGAAAAAGAAAAAATACAGTTTGAAAACAGTTATAAACCTCTGCATTAGTGAGTAACAAAATTATCACCAGAATGCTCAAACTTGTAATGAAAAGAAAAAAGTAAAGCCAGATTTCTGGATGACCCAATGGCTTTATGCTTTGGGAAAAAAATACATCATTGAGCACAATGAGATGTCAGGGAGTGGGGATGTAACACAGATCCAGGGTTGCAAACTGTATTTTTTTTGCATGCTAATACAAAGGTAATCTCATCTCACATTGCAGGAAACTTTGGCATGAGTGGGTCATGTAGAAATCTGAATAAGGCCCTCGTTTCTGCCTCTTCAATTCTAAGCAATGATCTGCATCCCTTGAAGTTTGGAGAGGAAATGTATATAAAGCCTGTAAGTATTTACGAGAGCTATAAAAAAAGCTTTGCGGTAGTTGACATGGGAAGTGATTAAGGTACCTTATAAGCAAAGACTGAAGAAAAGAGGGAGAGAAGTGATGCCAGAAGGGAATCTGGCAACAATCCCGAGGTAATGATAAGTGACTTCCAGAAGGAGGAGTTGTGGGAGGAAAAGTAAGAATTTAAATTGAGGCAGACTGCAAGACTTTTGGCCTTGGGGACTAAACCATGGATACTGTTCATTGCTGGACCCACAGACACAAGAAGAAGATGATGTCTCACCCTGCTCCTGACTCAGAGTTTACTGGTCAAATCCTGCAAAACAGGAGTTCATCAAGATTTGCTTGAATTTGAAAAGGATCCATTTCCCAGGCATCTCAGCTTTCTCCATCTGTGTTTACACAAATGGGTCTTAGGTCTCTCCAGGGCTTAGGAAAAAGCTGCTCTGAATAAAAACACACACACAGGCCATGTTGCCAGTGAGGACCTCTCTGAGTGACTGTTTTTTGTTTTCCTGTTTAACAGGTGGAGCATGTGTCCAGACCTGTCCCTAGACAGCAACTTGCGACATGAGCATTCACAGATGAAATGACAGCTGAAAGCACTCAGTTATCATGATCAATCATGAGTATAAAAGTCTAGCTTGTGAAGCCTCAATCTGAGAGTCCTGAAAAAATGTTTTGGGGAACTACTTCTCATGCCCCAGTGGGACAGAAAATGTTTTTAACCAGATGCCCTGTAAATTTTGCCATCTACAGGAAAGTAGAATGATGTACAGAAATGGAGTGCAATAGGCAAATTTCAAACCTATTCATGAAATATTTATGAGTAAAGGGTACATTTGCTGAAATTGGACGAACTACAGGAGAAGGAAGCAACAGCTGTACTCATCAGGACATATTGAACGAATGTTTTAGACACTAAGAGTTGGTTTATATCCTTCCCATAGGTTAATGATCTGCTAAGTTGCTTTCATCGGGGTTTACTTACAGCATTTTAGTTTATGTGTAACACCTGCATCAGTGTGCTGTCTGTCTTCTGTTGTGTTACCGTGTTACAAAGATGAAGTACACTGACACAGAATAAACTCATTAACCTACAAATACAGAGCATACAAATACATATGTCCTGATAGGCAGTGATATCGATGGCTTAATCTCTGGCAGTTTTGAGTTTCCTTCAGCTTATATCAATGTCAGGAAGAGCTAGTGTGTAGCTGTAGGTTCATGTACTATACAAATATCAACAGGCTGGGTTTAGGTTATCATCATATTTCAGGAACACAGTGGGTAAGATTCTGCAGTGATATTCTCTGAACCTGCTACTATTCATGATTTTTGTTAATCATCTAAATGGAAAAAGTGGAGAGCATTAGCAGATGACAAAAATTTGAAGAGAGCTGTAAACACAAATAGGACAGTCTGGAACTTCAGAATTATCAAATATAAGTGTAAGAAAATCCAGATATTTGGAAAGGGCAAGGATGAAATTCAGTAAAGACAAATTAAAGTTACTTAGGCAAAGACAGATATACAAATATAGGCTGTGAAATAACCAGCAGAGAAGGATATTGGGTAATTGTGAATCACAAACTGAAGAGAAATCAGAAGAGTTAAGACTGCCATGAGAAAAGTAAACACCATACTAGCATATCTAAACTGGAGTACCATCTGCATGACATGGGATATGATTTTTCTGCTGTACTCTCTTCTCTCCAATTTTGGGCACCGTGGTTCAAGAAGGATGGGACTGGTTGGACAATGTCCAGAAGAGACCAGCAAGGATGATCAGAAGTCCAGAGAACATGACTAATGAGGAGAGATTGAAATAGGGGCGTTGTTTAGTCTGGTGAAGATCAGACTGAGAAGTGATATGATAACAGTCTTTAAATACATAAAAGATGAAGAGAACAATTTGTTCTTTTTGTCAAGGGTGCAGAGGAGAAGGCTTAAAGAATAGCAAGGGACATGTAGGTTAGATATCATGAAAAAAAGTCTTCATAATAAGAAAGATAATGAAGCCCTGGAGTAGCCTAAGATTTGGATTTCAGTGAAGACTTTTAAGAGCAGGTTGGACACAGCATGCCTCAGGAATTACAGGGGGAGGACAGGTTTTGTCTGTGAGCAGGCAGAGTTGATGGCACTGAAGAAAGTCACTTTCAGCTCTACTTTGTATAATGTCTAGAATCAACTACAACAGGTTCTTGTTAAGGTATGAAAATCAGTGTGCTATGTCATTTCAGAGGACTAATGGGCGATTCAGGCTGCTGTGGAACAAAGCCCTCCTGTACAATCAAATGTCATAGTCACAACACCAAACACAGAGACCTCCTCAGGTCTTCAAACTCCACAAAAAAGTAAAGTCGCATACAAGCAAACAAAGAAATCCCTTCTATGCTTGGATAAATGAGACATTCAGAAAAACAAAAGCTTTATCTGGACCTTAATCCAAAACTTTGCTTCAACAGAACCTGAATATTTTTTGGTATATGAAAAAAAAATACTGCATTTTCATGATACTAAGCACTAGAAGGAATAAGAGGACAGAAGCAATTAGTAAAATAAAAAATAAAAAAAAAAATCTGTTTCTTTGTGGATAGAAAACTGTATTTCCAGAATCTTGGGAGAGACCCTCTTTGTAGGTTCCTACCTTATAATTTTTAACACTGGAAGAGTCAGCAGGCTATGGACACAAGATCCTGGAAAATTGCACAGGTTTTCAGCATTGACCACAGTCATGGTAGACTGCATTCACCTCTGGGCTCAAAAACCCCCTGCAGTGAGTTGAAGAGCTACTACTAAAATCTGTTTATTTACTCTGTGAAAATAACCTTTGTTGCTATATTGCATATAATTACATACGCTATATAAGAAACATTCAAATGCATGCTGACGACTTTTCAGGACTCCTGTGACTTGGAGACAGGTTCTTACTGACAGGTGCTGGTTTACTTAATGTTTTTTGAGTTGTGGGAAGCTTTAGGTCTCCATGAAGGTTTTTCCTGCCTCCTTTGAGTGTGGTGCTTGCTCCCATCAATACCAGAAATCTCTGGAGAGGCCCAGCTTACCCCTGTGATTTATGAAGGCTTTTTGTTCCCCCAGCAGCCACTGAAGGACATAGCTATGTCTCATCTCTGCCCAAAGGAGCATTCCCCCATGCATAGACTGTCTACCACAGGCTGCAGTGACCAGCTGCTCCCCAACCTCTGCCATAGGTAGTGAAGAAGGTCAGACCTCCCACCACCCTAACATGACTCAGGGAATAGAAATCTCTCCCTGCCACCACAAATAGAAATAAGCTAAATTATGCTTCAGGTGAAGAGAGGAAGGAGGATGCTTTGAGGCCTCTGCAGGTAAGCATAAGTGAGATAACCCACAGGATAAGTTCAGTTTTAATTTGCCTCTACTCTGTGGGTAGGGATCAGCTATGATACCATTTTATCTAATGAGCCCACGAAGACGGTTTTGTTGGTATCAGTGATGAATATCAGCTCTAATAGCCCCAGAAGGAGAAATTACAAACTTGCTGTGCAGAGGGCCAAAAATTTCCATAATCTTTCCTTCTCCCCTCTTCTGTGCACCATCCTCCAACCTGCTGCCAAAGAAAAGAGCCCCTCAGAGGTTACCCTCTGCCTCTTGAACTTGCATGACTTTGTCTCTTTGGATCCTTCACCCCCTGTGTTTAACCGAGGTTATGAAAACCAAGCTGCTTGCTCTCTGTTTATTTTCAGTGAACTTCTCTGTGTGCTGCCAGCAGCCAGAGCCATGGCCTTTCCCAATACAGGGCATCGCAGTGAGCTCGGAGTGCACCAGGGGTTGAGGAGAGAGGTGCACGAGTCAGCAGCCAAGCTGGGCTTATGTAAAGAACTTAAGGTTGAGGCCTTGCCAAAATTTATGGTGATTGTGTTCAAGTTACCGGTGATTGAGCTAAAGACATGTTTTCCTTGCTGCTATGAGGCAGAAACTAGCTGCAGGATACAATACAGTTCAGGACATAGGGGATTTCAAAGAGCATGACCAGAGAGCTCTGCAGCGGTACCAGTCTGAACCCTGTTCACAAAGACCAGGAGCATCTGGGCTTTGCACTGGAACAATTTACATAAACCTGGGGGTTGATGCAGAAGTTATAAAATTGGTTATTGAAAAAACCCAGTGGGCCAGCTCCTGGAAACTGGATTAGGCAGCTGTGTACAATTGTGGCAAACCCTTAGTGTACTGGAAAATAGCATTTTCAAAGTGTGCTTAGGTGACTTGGAAACCTAAGTCCCATCTTCAGGCATGATGGGATCATATCAGCAAAGTTTTTCTGTTGAGAAACAGGGTCCTAAAGCTTTTGACACTCAGTACTAAGTTAACTTAAATCCCACTGAGTTTAGCATTAATGAAACATACTTCCTTCTACAGCAGGTTTAAAAGGAGTCCAAATAAGGAACAGTGGGTGAAAAGTCAGAACAAAAACTGGAAGGGGGGCTGTTTATAGATGCATTTCAGGGTGAGATCAGAAATGTATCCATCTCTGCTATTTCACTGGCTTCTCTTTCTGTTTTGCCTTTCATGGAATATATTTGATCACTTTTGAATGTCAGAGCATGAATGAGAGTGATGCTATCCCAGATGGCTAGCACAGAGCATGGGCTTCTCATACAAAGCAAGGGGGACATGTGTGAACACCAGGAGAAGGTTATTCCAGTTCCAGGAGAGCTTTCTGCACTGATCCTATTTTGTGACTTCCTTTGAGTCCTCCTTTGTATTTTCCTGTTCATCTGTGTCTTGAAAGTTAGCTAGCCCTCTTCCTATGGAAGATTTCCTAGATTGCCTCTGTGTTGTAAGATACTTGTCTTTCTGGCATGCTGGGCATCTCTGTCAGGGAATCTCTGGGCCAGAGATGAACAAGGCCATGAAGAGGAATTCACAATAGATAGTCCTGAGTTGCAGCAGCTGCTCAGTTTTCCATGCAGAAGCACTGCACAAGAGATCAGGTTGTGCCTTGTATCTTGACATGCAGTTCAGTAAGAGGGAGTTTGTTTTTCCAGAGCTAGTTATCCAGCAGTGATTGTTCCTTTTTTTTTAACACAGCTTTTCCTACAGAGTTTTTAGTTTCTCTGTTCCTTGTTGGGCCATAAACCCAGTAGAAATTAGAAGTCTTTGCAAAAAAGGATTGAAAATGGCCAGTGCAGGAAGACAAACAGACTGAATACATGCACAAACCAAGGTGGCATGCTTCTCCTTGTTTACCTAGGAAAGGAAGGTAAAACCAGACCTCAGGCTAAGTTTTGAAATACAATGTTCTATGCAAATGAGCCACCCTACGATTGAAGCACTGTTTTATTTTTGTTTTCTTGACAATTATTTGTTGAAGACATGGGAGTTGCCCTGGGCAACACTAGGGTAATGCTGTCTGTGACACATCCTGTGTCACTGTAAGATTCTTGCCCTTCTTCTTTGGGGGAGGTTGGTCATACCAAGCAGATCTCACTTGACTGAAAATATTATTAATTCCTTTTTTCCTCTCTTTCTTTTTTTTCCTTTTTCCTTTTTCTTCTGCTGTTTCCATCTTACCTAACTCAGAGGAAAACTCCAGACAGATTAAATATCTGTGGCTCATCCTTTTTTTCTTTTCATCTTTTTTTCTTTCCTTTTGACAAAACTCCCTAGTACTAATGCCCCAACTCCCCAGCTGAGCATGACAGTGGCACAAAAGCTCCAGAGTTAAGTGATTGTTGTGTGACCACATCTGTGAGCCAATGCTCCACAGCAGTGTTGTACCCTGAGTCTTTTCTTGCTTGATCTTTTAAACCACAGAATTGGTTTTGCTGAATAACAAATGCAACGCCATCTGATAAGGTCGTTTGTATATGTCAGGTTATCCACCTGCTTTGATTATTCTTACAGCACTTGAAGGGTTAAGAGGCTTAGAAGAAATCATGGAGTGTATCTTATTTTTTTTAACTTTTAATATTTATTTGTTTGTTTATCTGTCATAAGTGAAAGCTGAGTTGCTTTGAGGTCTCTTGCATCT